GAAGGGAGCCGGTCGGCCGAGCGGACAGCACGCTGTACTTGTGATCTAGTGGTCCTGGGTTCGATCCCAGGCGCCGGCGAGAAACAATGGGCATAGTTTCTTTCACCCTATGCCCCTGTTACCTAGCAGTAAAATAGGTACCTGGGTGTTAGTCAGCTGTCACGGGCTGCTTCCTGGGGGTGGAGGCCTGGTTGAGGACCGGGCCGCGGGGACACTAAAAGCCCCGAAATCATCTCAAGATAACCTCAAGGGGTCTCGAGTCAATAATTGCTTCAGTAGCACTATTAGACTCACGACTGAAGACACCAATACTCTGTGAACACCACAGAGGATGAGTCCCACTCAAATACTGTACTTGGAGAGAGTACCCAATGCTCTGGTAGTCAAGATTTTCATTAACTCAAACAAAATCACAGCCAATAATAGTCGAGGAAAAGTAAGTCACACTGGTGACATTATGCTGCATCTATGCTTTCTCCTGGCGACATAAATCATGCTGCATCTGTACCCTGTCCTGGTGACATTTATACCATGCTGCATCTGTACCTGGTCCTGGTGACATTTATACCATGCTGCATCTGTACCTGGTCCTGGTGACATTTATACCATGCTGCATCTGTACCCTGTCCTGGTGACATTTATACCATGCTGCATCTGTACCTGGTCCTGGTGACATTTATACCATGCTGCATCTGTACCTGGTCCTGGTAACATTTATACCATGCTGCATCTGTACCTGGTCCTGGTGACATTTATACCATGCTGCATCTGTACCTGGTCCTGGTAACATTTATACCATGCTGCATCTGTACCTGGTCCTGGTGACATTTATACCATGCTGCATCTGTACCTGGTCCTGGTGACATTTATACCATGCTGCATCTGTACCTGGTCCTGGTAACATTTATACCATGCTGCATCTGTACCTGGTCCTGGTAACATTTATACCATGCTGCATCTGTACCTGGTCCTGGTAACATTTATACCATGCTGCATCTGTACCTGGTGACAGTTACGCTACATCTATACCCGGTCCTGGCGACAATTTATCAGCTTCATATTTTGTGAATATACAGTGTAATTTTGTCATGTCCTGTATTTTATAGCGGCAGTTTTCTATAACCCGTGAGAAACAATGTCAATTAATTCTTAGTCTCGGGAATAGGCGTTAGGAACGTAACAGTGTAAGTACAGTCGCCGCGGCAGGCATGACATGTAAGGCAATGTGACTAGTGTATGTGGACGATATACGTTTATAGTGATATCAACACGGTTGTCAACTCTCAACTCTTATGAAGTTGCGATATAGATAAACAGAAAGTTTACAGATAAACGTTATCACGGAACTATCAGGGGGAAGCGCCAAGCCATAAAGACTATAGCAATAGCAAGGGGTTAGGATAAGGATTTGGTATGGGGCCGGGGGGGGGGAGGAATTTAATCAGTCTCCGTGGTGCAGTGGTAAGACACTCACCTGGCGTTCTGCGAGCGCTTTGTCATGGGTTCGTATCCTGGCCGGGAAGGATTTACTGGACGCAAATCCTTAACTGTAGCCTCTGTTTAACTCAACAGTAAAATGGGTACTTGGTTGTAACAACGATTTTTCGCGGCAGGGGATCGTATTCCAGGGACCTGCCCGAAACGCTACGCATACTAGTCGCTGTACAACCATGTAACAACTCTTGTAACCCCCCCCCCAAAAAAAAAAAAAAAAATGGTGCCCAACCACTTGGACGGTTGGGGATTGATCGCTGACCTGCATGAAGCGAGACCGTCGCTCAACCGTCCAGCCCAGGTGGTTGGACACGCTATCACACACGCTTATTATTTTATTATTATTAAATATTTAATTATCTATAATTCTGATTATGAATTATTACTTGGCTACATACTCTTCCCGGCCTGGCGCCTCCGCCTGATAATTACCAACTCCCGTATGGCGTGTACCCTGTACTGATTTTCCAGCCCATCCTGTTTAGATGTACTTTTTGTAACTGTGCAACATAGTACAAACATTGGCGTAAAAGTTATTTTCAGCATTTACCGGGTTAAAAGAGAACCATTTCAGCAACTACCGGGTTAAAAGAGAACCATTTCAGCAACTACCGGGTTAAAAGAGAACCATTTCAGCAACTACCGGGTTAAAAGAGAACCATTTCAGCAACTACCGGGTTAAAAGAGAACCATTTCAGCAACTACCGGGTTAAAAGAGAACCATTTCAGCAACTGCCGGGTTAAAAGAGAACCATTTCAGCAACTACCGGGTTAAAAGAGAACCATTTCAGCAACTACCGGGTTAAAAGAGAACCATTTCAGCAACTACCGGGTTAAAAGAGAACCATTTCAGCAACTACCGGGTTAAAAGAGAACCATTTCAGCAACTACCGGGTTAAAAGAGAACCATTTCAGCAACTACCGGGTTAAAAGAGAACCATTTCAGCAACTACCGGGTTAAAAGAGAACCATTTCAGTAACTACCGGGTTAAAAGAGAACCATTTCAGTAACTACCGGGTTAAAAGAGAACCATTTCAGCAACTACCGGGTTTTTAGGGGTAACCTTACATCAAGACTTGCGTGTCATAACTATTAAGGTGTATCTACAATCTGGTACTATTCACTTTATAGTCCGAGAAAATAAAGCTAAAAAAAACTTAAATACTGTATTCTTAGGCCTCGGATAGCGTGTATTGGGCCTAGGAAAATTAGGTTAAGTTGTCTACAACATAAATGTAAAACCTTTTTCCGGTTTGTCCAGATTCAATACGATTTCTTCTTTCTAATTGTCCATTACGTCATGAATGTTACTATGGTCCTCATCGTTACTATAAATACTAAACATGAGGATGGGCTAAGATTTTGAGAATGATCAGTAGTTTAGCGTTCCCACTGTGGCTTTGTCCCTCCATAGCCTCCTCCTCCAGTGACTGATGAGTCCTCTGACATCACTAGTGTTCCCACTGTGGCTTTGTCCCTCCATAGCCTCCTCCTCCAGTGACTGATGAGTCCTCTGACATCACTAGTGTTCCCACTGTGGCTTTGTCCCTCCATAGCCTCCTCCTCCTCCAGTGACTGATGAGTCCTCTGACATCACTAGTGTTCCCACTGTGGCTTTGTCCCTCCATAGCCTCCTCCTCCAGTGACTGATGAGTCCTCTGACATCACTAGTGTTGCTCTGCTCTTGTATGGCATCCTTAATGTTATGAAGGAATTGTTAATATTGTTACACACGCCTTCAGACTTTGGTGCTTTATCTTGATCGTTATTTATTGGCGTCCTACGATTATCTCTGATAGATAATAAAGCCTAATAGATTTGTTGACCAGACCACACACTAGAAGTTGAATGGACGACGACGTTTCGGTCCGTCCTGGATCATTCTCAAGTGACTTGAGAATGGTCCAGGACGGACCGAAACGTCGTCGTCCCTTCAACTTCTAGTGTGTGGTCTGGTCAACATACTTCAGCCACGTTATTGTGACTCATCGCCTGCTAATAGATTTGTCTTGTTTTCAATAGAATATCGCGAGCATTACAACAACCTGTTCTTCTAATTGCACTTTGACATATACTCTACCTAAGGCCAAAAATTGTCGTACTAGAAAATGGTAGCTGCTAACAAAATTGACATACAGTACTGGCCCGTTTTCTGTTTTGGGTCCTCTGTTAGGCTAGGATAAGGGCACTTTAGTACGACAGTTTCTTGACGCTGGGGAACCTTAGCAGGACGGGCTCTGCTTTGGTCAAATTTGATTTAGATCGACGTGATTATTATTTATATTATTAATATACAGAATAAATATTGCATTGTGCTGCTACGGTAGTGGTGTATATGTGGAATATAGAGGATGGTTGGTCATACTTGGGGATATGAGTGTGTGTAAAGCCAGGTTGCCTCACACGGGTGAACTGATGTTGCCAGCTAGGCTACTCTGCCTGTGTGTAATTGGAGAGTTAATGGTTTATTTAACCTTTTCCAAAGTAAATAGTGAATGAAACTTAATACCTGTGCCTTTATCAACGAAACGTTCTCTATTGTTGTTGTTTAGCTTCCAATAGACGAAGCTTCTTGCATAAAACACACTAACTGAGAGGGATTGAATTGAAATTGAAATGAAATAAGTTTATTGATGTAAAATACACAAGGGATGAGGTAGCTCAAGCTATTCTCACCCCGTTCAGTACATCGTGTTAATACATACATATACACACACATCACAAACAATAAACATATTACCAAACATTCTGAGAGATAAACATCTACATTTCCTCAGAGAGGGAAGGTCTTCCAAGATGTTGGGTGACTCAACCTACGGCTTAACAAGACCGGCGGCAAGATCAGGTTTAGATCAAGGCGTGATGTCTGCCTTATAACTCCTGTACTTTATTTCGTAAATTTATCATGATAATGATAAACGCCCAAATTGATCTTGTAGCCATCAAATATTTACAATTCATATATTTTGTCTTGTAGGTTAAACAAGGCAGATACTAGACATAATGTAACATTTGTGCTTTTGGGTAAAGTTAGTATCTCTTAATTACAAGTTCCATAAGCCGTCAGGTATACTCTCATTCAAGCTAACCAAAATGCTCACACGGTCAGGTAATTATCTTTTGTAACCTTCAATGATGCCAGCGACGTAGGCACCGAGCTCCTCGTATGTAGTCCTCACAGTACACATTTAATGTTCTGTACTGTATTATAGTCTTTGTGCTAACGTTGTCATAATATACTGTACATTATATTGCTTATTTGCAAACTCATCCCACCATCCTTTCCACCACAGCCTGCTTGCACGACGGGTATATATGGGGTTGCACAATGACTTGTTTAAATCAGTGTATGGCATAGATAATATCTATAATTTTAGACGAGTTAAACACTAGGAAATTGAAAGAGAGTAAAAGCCAGTCAGTTATGTGGTTTATAAAGAGGGAGTAAAAAGAGAGGAACTGGTCACTGAGAGGTCTTGGAGAGAGAGAGTGGGTGGTGGGCGAGGCGAGCCAGTCCTGCCCGTGCCTGTGGTGGCTGCAGGTAGTGGCTGCTCTCGCACACTCCTCCCACCACACCCATTATTCTGTTTAATGACCCTCATGTGCTCTATATGCTGGTGACGCGTTCGCTTATTGAAGCTGACTCTATCCCGCCTCTAAACCAAACATTCACTAGTGTACGTGTTCGCGGCTCCTCTATAAAATTCGTCGATTGGCGGGGGAAATACTAGCGTGGAAACAGTTGCAAGACGTCGCCACATGAGTCATACAAGGCCTTAAGTTGGGACCATCTAAGATTCACTTAGCCATTTATAGTGTTCTTGGGCAGTGACAGACGTGGCAGTTGTGACTCCGTCCAGTCACTTGTGCCCAACCTAAATTAATGCCACCAGTTCTGAGAGTAAATAGTGAAATAACTTGTGATAGAAAAGTGTGACGTACGAACAAATGGTTTTAAAATAGGGGTCCCATATTAGGGACGTAGAGACTCCAAGTTAGAAGCCTTTTAATGTGTCATCGGATCTAGTTGTGTCAGAAGTCTTCCACACCGCCTTTGAAGATGAACAGTCAAGGTACCGGTAAAGGTTTCTTGTGGTCAAAGCGACCAAGTTAGAATAGTGATAATTATAAAGCAGGTGTGTGGTGGTACAGGTGTGGGGATGAAGGCCAACATATTGGTCAGTGTCAGCCATATTACTCTCTCCTCTCTAGTGATTCTATCAATTTGAATACAAGTATATGAAGACAATTATCTTAATACGTATACATATTTAAATACTTTATTTTTTTTGTTTAAAGACGATAATTTTGTATTTGATTTGTAATTAGAGGTAAGAGGGTATTTATTATGTAACGTGTGTACCGGGAAGGTGGTGGGGGGGGGGCGTGTCCCCGCCCCCCACCCTGGCATAGGAAAGTTGGCCCCCCACCCCTGGGGACTACAGTAGCTCAGTAGTCTACGTTATGAATGACTCGATCATTAAAACAACGTTCCATTGCTTCTTGCTTTTTTATGAATGACTTGGATGATTATTATAATAGACCGTGGTTCTTGTACTAGGATGGTTATTATGACCATGGTGGATAGTTGTGTGGTGGATAGTTATGAGAGTGATGGATGGTTCTTATGACCCTGGTGGATAGTTGTGTGGTGGATAGTTATGAGAGTGATGGATGGTTCTTATGACCCTGGTGGATAGTTGTGTGGTGGATAGTTATGACAGTGATGGATGGTTCTTATGACCCTGGTGGATAGTTGTGTGGTGGATAGTTATGAGAGTGATGGATGGTTCTTATGACCCTGGTGGATAGTTGTGTGGTGGATAGTTATGACAGTGATGGATGGTTCTTATGACCCTGGTGGATGGATGGTTCTTATGACCCTGGTGGATAGTTGTGTGGTGGATAGTTATGACAGTGATGGATGGTTCTTATGACCCTGGTGGATAGTTGTGTGGTGGATAGTTATGAGAGTGATGGATGGTTCTTATGACCCTGGTGGATAGTTGTGTGGTGGATAGTTATGACAGTGATGGATGGTTCTTATGACCCTGGTGGATAGTTGTGTGGTGGATAGTTATGACAGTGATGGATGGTTCTTATGACCCTGGTGGATAGTTGTGTGGTGGATAGTTATGACAGTGATGGATGGTTCTTATGACCCTGGTGGATAGTTGTGTGGTGGATAGTTATGACAGTGATGGATGGTTCTTATGACCCTGGTGGATAGTTATGACAGTGATGGATGGTTCTTATGACCCTGGTGGATAGTTGTGTGGTGGATAGTTATGACAGTGATGGATGGTTCTTATGACCCTGGTGGATAGTTGTGTGGTGGATAGTTATGAGAGTGATGGATGGTTCTTATGACCCTGGTGGATAGTTGTGTGGTGGATAGTTATGACAGTGATGGATGGTTCTTATGACCCTGGTGGATAGTTGTGTGGTGGATAGTTATGACAGTGATGGATGGTTCTTATGACCCTGGTGGATAGTTGTGTGGTGGATAGTTATGACAGTGATGGATGGTTCTTATGACCCTGGTGGATAGTTGTGTGGTGGATAGTTATGACAGTGATGGATGGTTCTTATGACCCTGGTGGATAGTTATGACAGTGATGGATGGTTCTTATGACCCTGGTGGATAGTTGTGTGGTGGGTAGTTATGACAGTGATGGATGGTTCTTATGACCCTGGTGGATAGTTGTGTGGTGGATAGTTATGAGAGTGATGGATGGTTCTTATGACCCTGGTGGATAGTTGTGTGGTGGATAGTTATGACAGTGATGGATGGTTCTTATGACCCTGGTGGATAGTTGTGTGGTGGATAGTTATGACAGTGATGGATGGTTCTTATGACCCTGGTGGATAGTTGTGTGGTGGATAGTTATGAGAGTGATGGATGGTTCTTATGACCCTGGTGGATAGTTGTGTGGTGGATAGTTATGAGAGTGATGGATGGTTCTTATGACCCTGGTGGATAGTTATGAGTGATGGATGGTTATTATAACAGCCCGAGTGATGGATGGTTATTGTGAGGAAACCAACCGGGCGACCAGTGAATAATGTCAACACTAGTGAGTGAGTGAGTGGATGGCGTGGTCACGACCATGTCCACAAGATGTTCTGCCAACTCACTGTGCATTGTGAGGCGCTGCGCACTTGAAGCAAGCGCCGGCCGCCACCACCGGTGTGGATCTTGCTCAACTGGGCGGCCCAGTTGCTGCCACCAGTCCCTGGTATTCTGTAGTGGATGGTCTGGGTCACTTGGGGGCGTATTGGAGCTTGGGATTGTGATAATGGGAGGTGATTGTAGGGGGGGGGAGGCTGCCTGCTGCTCCAGGCGCGCGCGCATGTGCTGTAATACTGTCAGATGAAATGATAGCGTGGAGCCATGTGACATGTGTAGTTAAGGGTTATTTAGTATAGTTTTTGTTGTAGTATACTCACACATGAGCTAAGGTTTGTGGTAGTGGAAGCACTATACACTAAGGAAGTGTGTGGTGCTTCCACTACACACTAAGGAAGTGTGTAGTGCTTCCACTACACACTAAGGAAGTGTGTAGTGCTTCCACTACACACTAAGGAAGTGTGTAGTGCTTCCACTACACACTAAGGAAGTGTGTAGTGCTTCCACTACACACTAAGGAAGTGTGTAGTGCTTCCACTACACACTAAGGAAGTGTGTAGTGCTTCCACTACACACTAAGGAAGTGTGTAGTGCTTCCACTACACACTAAGGAAGTGTGTAGTGCTTCCACTACACACTAAGGAAGTGTGTAGTGCTTCCACTACACACTAAGGAAGTGTGTGGTGCTTCCACTACACACTTAAGGAAGTGTGTGGTGCTTCCACTACACACTTCCACTACACATAAGGGACATAACTGGTCGACCACTCAGTGTTCAAGAGAGAACTGGATAAGCACCTCCAAAGGATACCTGATCAATCAGGCTGTGACTCACGTCAGGCTGCGAGCAGCCGCCTCCAACAGCCTGGTTTATCAGTCCAGCAACGAGGAGGCCTGGTCGACGACCGGGCCGCGAGGACGCTAAGCCCCGAAAACGTCTCAAGGTAACCTCAAGGAGTCAGGCCACTGAAGTGTTAGAATTACTGGCAGACAATGGCAGTTGGCTACATTGCAAGTTTTGTCTATTTTCTCAATGTTTGATAAATTGACCTCAAATTATCATTATTAATAACAGAAATAGAAGCTCCGCAGTATATAGTAAAAAGTCTCGCTGAGGTATACGTTGATCAGTACAGTTGTTGCTGCCCGCCTTCCGTCAGGTTAGGCTGTGTGCACCCTCCAGAGTTGTTGTTGTTATAGATACAGCTACTCGGAACAAGTTCCAAGTAGCACGGGCTATGGTGAGCCCGTAGTGGACTTACCTGGCACAGGAGCGGTGCAAGTAGCACGGGCTATGGTGAGCCCGTAGTGGACTTACCTGGCACAGTAGCACGGGCTATGGTGAGCCCGTAGTGGACTTACCTGGCACAGTAGCACGGGCTATGGTGAGCCCGTAGTGGACTTACCTGGCACAGGAGCGGTGCAAGTAGCACGGGCTATGGTGATCCCGAAGTGGACTTACCTGGCACAGGAGCGGTGCCTGGTGTGAGTGTGCAGCATTGTCTGTGGGTGTCTGGTAAACAGTGATGCCCACAGCGTGTCCATGGTCTTCCTGAGTTACCTTGTCGGTATTCTCTCTTTATTGTCTCCTGTGGTGGTTGTATGTGTGTGGGCCCCCTTGGCGGTCATTAGGGCTAGTTGCTCGTGTTCCATCAACTTCCTCTGCCTCCATGAGGGTTTCTGCATTTGTGGGTCCTAGCGCTTGCTGGGTCTTTCGTACCAGTTAAGAGTGCTGATAATGTTGCTGGTCACTAGAGCTTTTACGATAAGGGAGGGAGCATCGTCTTCGTAAAGAGGATGGAGAGACATAAGTGACGGGACGTTTACAAGTTGGAAATACAGTGAGAGGTATGAAAGCAGGCGGGCTGTCCTCCTTATCGACACAATATGTGGGTGTTGGCAGCAAAGCTAAGCTGGCTCTTGTCAGAGAGCTGTGTGAGAGAGAGAGGTTCTTCACATGTGTTTCACCATATATATGGATCTCTATAGATGAATACTGTGTAGCATTCTTATACACACACTCTCGGATGCTTTCACACGTTATGTTGTGTGTGTGTGTATGTGTATATATATATATATATATATATATATATATATATATATATATATATATATGAATATGAAAACTCACACCCCAGAAGTGACTCGAACCCATACTCCCAGAAGCAACGCAACTGGTAACTACAGGGCGCCTTAATCCGCTTGACCATCACGGCCGTCAAAAGGAAGTGATAGCCGAGGCTATTTGAGCCACTTCCCCGACGGCAACTCGGATGGTAATCTTGGGCATAGCATTTCACCAAATCACCTCATTCTTTGGGGCACACGTGAGGAACACAAATGCGAACAAGCCTGAATGGTCCCCAGGACTATATGCGAATGAAAACTCACACCCCAGAAGTGACTCGAACCCATACTCCCAGAAGCAACGCAACTGGTAACTACAGGGCGCCTTAATCCGCTTGACCATCATGGGTTCGAGTCACTTCTGGGGTGTGAGTTTTCATTCGCATATAGTCCTGGGGACCATTCAGGCTTGTTCGCATTTGTGTTCCTCACGTGTGCCCCAAAGAATGAGGTGATTTGGTGAAATGCTATGCCCAAGATTACCATCCGAGTTGCCGTCGGGGAAGTGGCTCAAATAGCCTCGGCTATCACTTCCTTTTGACGGCCGTGATGGTCAAGCGGATTAAGGCGCCCTGTAGTTACCAGTTGCGTTGCTTCTGGGAGTATGGGTTCGAGTCACTTCTGGGGTGTGAGTTTTCATTCGCATATAGTCCTGGGGACCATTCAGGCTTGTTCGCATTTGTGTTCCTCACGTGTGCCCCAAAGAATGAGGTGATTTGGTGAAATGCTATGCCCAAGATTACCATCCGAGTTGCCGTCGGGGAAGTGGCTCAAATAGCCTCGGCTATCACTTCCTTTTGACGGCCGTGATGGTCA